CTCGCACAATACACAGCACATAAGCATATTGTTCTATTTTACTACAATTTGAATCCTCAGCATCTCATAAAGCATTAAAGGAAGCTATTTTTTATGCATTTATTTACTTAGTTGGATGATTAAGTACGGCCATTAAAAATGACGATATTTTTAGGGGATGAAATAACTAGCAATGGTTTATTGTAGTATAGTTGAAGGAGTTGGAAAGAAATGGCCTGAAATTATCGTAAAGATTGCGATTGAAACGGTAAAAAAATACATATGCATACTGGTGTACCTACTACTTTAAAAATAGCCTTCCTATACAGTAAATATTCTATAATTATTTTCCAAAACTTAAGCGATTTTTAAATCATGCTCTGCATGATTTATAAATAAATTATTATTATCAACAGAAACGCATTATTTTTATTCATAATTTTTAAAATAATTTGCAAAACAAATATTAACATGATTAAAGCAACTTAGCAAGTAAACTCTGGTTTAAAAACTTACTTTATTACACGTTTTAGTAAGCTAAGATTTTTTCTTTTTCTAAATTTCATCTTTTAAACATTTCTGAGTTCAGAATTTATGCGTAAGCTATTTATATAAAATTTAAATAACCGATCGCATCAGATATTTTTTTCCTACGATGCCACCTTAACCTCGATTCGTTAAATTTTCAGTAAAATACGTTCTTCGAGAATGGCGGAAGGAGTCTAAAGGTTTGGGGTGGAACGTGAGGAATCACGTGATAGAATAAAGTCATTTTTGAATCTCTTTTTTACCTCGATTTAAATTCCAAACGTCTCGCAAAGTATTAAAGGAAGCTGCCGTTTTGTATATTTTTATTTATTTAGTGGGATAACTAAATAAGGCCATTAAAAAAAAGAAGATATTTGAAGAGATCGCTTCAGGGGATGAAATAACAAACAATGGTATTTCGTCACGTAGCTGAAGGACTTGAAAAGGGAATGGTCTGGGCCTGAAATTATTTTTGGAAATGGAATTTTATTGTGTTGAAATGTATATATTAAAGTCGAGGTTTTATTATTGTATGTTTTTAAGAATTGTTTTATTACCCCCTGTTTCTTTTACGGCTCCAAAAGAAAGCTGATTCAGTAAAAATCTGTTACGCTGATATCAAAAGAAGCATTGTCTTACAGGAAATTATATTTTCGGAATAATTTTGTCTCAAAGTATGAAACTCAAGTAGAAATATTGGGTAACTGACATTTTCATTTGTATAAGATATTCTGAATACTTATCTGTTACTGAAATTTAATGAATTTTTTTTTCTTTCAAAACAAAATAAATATGTTAAATTTTTTTTAAGTGTCAAGAGTAATAATGCATGTATTAGTTTGTCTAAAGTAAGAACTCCCTTAGCTATTTGTCTAGATCCGTAGCAGAGACTATGGTAGCGAAGTATAAGAATTTCAAGAAGGTGTGTGAGATCACGGTTTAGGACAGGTTTTGCTCGGGCAGACGAGAGAAAGGGAATTTTTTTCTTCGGTTTACTGTGTTAGCCCTAGAGTGAAGAGAAGCTACCCTTTTTGAAATGAACTATTCCTGTTTCCATTGCAGATTTGCGGCGGGGGGAGTTCTTACAGTAGACAAACTATATATTCCTCACAGGATCAGCTATTAGCGAAGTGTAAGCACTTAGTTCTATTTTTCAAAATAAAATAGTTACTAAAATTAAGTAATTTCTTAAAAAAAGAAACAACTCGAAAATACGAGTATATATTTATTATAAAGTGGGACGAAAAAATGCTGCTCGCCGAAAGGTTTCTCTCCCTTTTATTTCAAGGTTTAAAAAATTATAATTGTCTATGTTTTCTTTTCTTTTTTGTACGTCTAAGGAGGTTATTAATTAGAAATTTCAAGTGAATTAATAATTTTTTGTTCACGAAAAAAAATTGTTTTTTGTTAAATATTTCTTGATATACCGAGTGAGTAAAGTTAAAAAAAAGTAGCAAATTAACTAATCGCTAAATAAGTAAAACCATGAATTAGATAATAGTCCCACTAGTTAACCAGTTCAGCAAAAAAACTGGATGCTTAAAGAGGAGGTTAATTAATCAATCAGCGAATGAGCAAACCAGTATACGGGTTAATAAGTAATAAGTAAATTGTTAAATAGGCGAATCAGTTAAGTATGTATGATGTAGCATTTAAAACCACATATTAGTCTAAACACGTGGTTTTTCATTTTTTGCCTAAACTGTAAAGATCTTTGCAGATCTAATTCGTTGCAGATTTTTGAAATAGATTTTAAACAATCTTTACTCTTATCTGGTATTTTATTTTAACATAGTTCTTAAGCAGAGGATATAAATTAACTATTTCGCAGTCTCGTAACCGTAAGGTCTATCCAAAAAACAAGAGCACTTCTAGACTAAGCACCCTACTTTTAATTTTTTAACCGTCGTTGAACTGCTGACCCAATTCTGAGTTTTTGTGACTATCAATGCTCAAGTTCGTAATCTTGTAATTTTGAACTTAATCTAGAAGACAAGGGAACTCTTTGATCAAGTAAGTGTTGGGGGAAACTTGCCTTCATAGAGGACTGCTTGATGCAGCTAACCTACATTTGCGTTTCATGGAGAGAAAAATCACGAAAACCTCCCGTGGTTAGCTGAGTCAAAGAGACTCTAATTCCTGATCCATCTACCACTGAGGATATTTAACATCAGCACTGTAGTCAGTGCGAGCCAGGTGCGGAATTCGTATCAACTAGCCATTGATGGGATTAGATTTCGGTTCACCTTATTAGAAGGCGAACGCTCTATCCCCTGAGTCACCAAGGCTCTCATACTAAGCCTTTGAATAAACTCGCCATCATGACGACATTCAGTGTGAAAGTAATTTACATTTTCTCCAAAAAAATTAGCACAGTTACTCAAACGGCAAACATATAAAAAAAAATTTCCCAATTATTTTGCCAGGTTACCAATGGGAATGATATATTGTGAACACTGTGGTCAAAGTGTACCGGCGGCTGAATTAACCAGGCATCACTGTGATTCGAACATGGGTCCCCTAACTGAGAGGCAAACACTGAATAAGTTAGAATAATAGAATAGCCAAAATTAAGAATTGTCAATAATTAATATATTTTCAATTTTTTGCCAAATAAATAATTTTTATGTAGGGTAGAGTGGGGTCAATTGTAACATTTTTTATTTAACTATTTTTAACTGACAAAAAATCCAATATATAATTAGTATTAATTGACAGACGAGTAAGTAGACTATCCTCTACTAGAAAAAAAATAAATAACTTATTTTATATGTTATTATATTAGTTATTAAAAATTTTTGACAGTCGCGCACTTGTTACAATTGTCCCCACTTGCGGGGTCAATTGTAACAGTTCATAAATTCAACTAAAACATAGTTAATTATATGCAACATAATATGCAACATGCAACATAATATAAATGATATAGGAAACTATTGGTGGTTCTCAAAGAGTTAAGTAATGGTTTGTAAACATAAGATTATTTATTTTTAGCTGTTACAATCGTCCCTTTACTTATTGTTCAAATCGTCCCCAAGACGCCATTTCTGCTTCATTTGTTAAATAATGCTAGTTAATTAACAAAACTAATATTTTTTTTTGACATGTCAATTAAGGTGTCCACTTACATATTCGGTTAATAATTTTTATTTGTTTAAGCAAAATTACTTTGTTACAATATAATATTCTAATACCAAAAAAAATAATTACTTACGTAGCGTGAAAATATCCTTTGTGATGTAACTCTTTCAAAAGTACATAAAAATGGTTGCCAGNTGTTTAAGCAAAATTACTTTGTTACAATATAATATTCTAATACCAAAAAAATTACTGACGTAGCTTGAAAATATCCTTTGTGATGTAACTCTTTCAAATGTACATAAAAATGACTGCCAGCAGGGGTATACATGTAGATTTATTAAATACACCTTGTGCGCCACCTTGCAACCAAATCTAGAACCCTACACTCGAAATTTTTGATCTGTTACAATCGTACCCTGTTACAATTGACCCCACTCTCCCCTACACATCATTTCGATTTTTTAAAGTTTACTTAATTTCTTGAGTGTGCTTATATTTCGTGTTTCTAACGTAAAATAATATGTACTTTGCTCCCAAAACAAATCAATACTTCTGGGGTTATTGAATTGGAAATTGATCGTTTCTGATTTAGGTCAAAATTATGATCTGTGGATGAATAAACGGGCTGTGACGTGCGTGTGTCAAGTCATATTCTTGGCTACAAACAGCGCCACTGAAAAACGGGATATGCACCCTTTGCCTTAAATTCGCTTGGTTTCACCAAACAGGCTTGGTGGTAATTGGCAAGTGGCATTAGAAACAACAACGACAGAATAATAATAATATCATCTGTAATAACATCTTTTTTTGTACAAATTCCCTTTATCATGTAAAAGAATGTATTATTTTAGCGGTGACTGTTTATTTCATTGTTTTTGTATTTAAGTTAGTTTATTGTTAGAAAAATAAAGAAAAAGGTTATTAAATTTAAAAAAATTGTTTTTCTATTTTGATTAACTATCATACAAAATATTGTTGCAGAATGTATTAAAGTAATAGTGTCTTAATGCAACCAGTTTTGCAATAAAATAAAAGAATAATATTTCATTCGAAGATGATTAAAAAATTTTACATTGTTTACCTCATTTTAAAAATGTTTTTTGCAATAAAATAAAACATATGAACTTACTATTTAGAAAAGAAATTATTAAAATTACTTTATACTTTTTACTGATTTTATCGTATTTTACCAGAAAATACTATACTTTAATATTGGGAAAAAATATCTTCGTCTAACTTAAGTATGATTTCAATAAAATGTATTTAAATTTTCTGTTATGAATTTCTTGTAAATCAAGTTACTGATGAAAAAATGGATTTTTTCCAGATTTCAATTATAAATCAAACTCTTTTCATTTTTCTTTCCCTTTCAATAATATTTCAACTTGATAGTAATGTTTACACTTTTCCAGGCTCTACTTTTGCATCTAAATTTCGATACTATTACATCTTCCTTGCAAAGCTCCATTATTGCACCAGGAACCAGTTGCAATTCTCTGTCTGGATGTTTGCGGATATCATCATACAGACCAAAATCACAACAACCGATAGAAAAAGATGGAAGATTGTCTACATCAAACACCTGGTCTCCAGTTGAAAATCTGAAGGTTACATTAAATGATCAAAGAAATAAAAGCAAAAAACAGTTTGCAGACAAATTTAATAAGCCCGATACAGGAAACGCAGGTGTTTCAGTTTATGCTAACGACCACCTTTTTGATTCAAGCACTGTGGTTGGACAAGATACAGTTGCGAATCCATGGATTAGATATTGGTCTCACCAACCAACTACTGTGGCAACACTTACTCACTCAAGCATCAAGCGATTGACACTTTCAGAGAATAAGAACTTAGTCTATAGAACCATAAACTCTGAGGACGAAAGAAATGGCACAGTTTCTTTTGGTAAACAGAATATAGATTCGAATTTGAAAGGAAAATCATTTGAAGCAGTCAATACAAGCAAAAAAAATAAGGGTTATGTAAATGTGAACAGAAATGGAGTAAACAAGGAATTTTTAAACTCGCTGCTTCAAAGCAATAGTTTTCCATATGTTGATACCAAATACAATCGCAAACAAACTTTTGGTACTGAATCAATAATAAATATATCAAATGGATATCCAGATAGGAAAAGTTTTGGAAATATTTTAGGGAACTACAACAGAAAAAATATCGACAATTTTAACAACGAAACAGATAAAATTCGCGATGATGACAGGCATACCAATGATAAGAATATAGGAAAACAGTTAGATCAATACAATAAATTCAACAAATTTGGACACCAAAAGCATAATATGCAGCAAGAAGTTCCCAATAAAGAAAAGAAAAACATTGATCAAAAAGAAAAGAATAATTTTTATGATATAAACGTACTCGCCAATTATATAAACAAAAGAAATATATCTGATCAACACAGTAATGATAACAAATTCCGAAACCAAAACAATCTACAGAACACCAGCACAAGCAATGAAAGGAGAAATAATAGTAGAGTTTTAAATAAAACAAGCATCTTTGAATACTTAAGAAAACTATTCAATGATGCAGAGATATTGTTTCGTATTCCTCAAATCGAATCGCGAAAATCAGACCGCGAAAATTTAAATATTTTATCTGAGAATCACTCAAACGATTTAAATTCTAAGTTTCGTGACTTAGTATGTAAAATAATGCATTGTCAAAGATCAAATGAATATAATATAAATAGATATAAAGAAGTTAGAACAGACCAACAAGCTAATCAACTGGGCTTACAGGTTTTGAGAAGTTTAGATGGCGGTAAATCAGGGGACTATTTGGAAAATAATTCGAATTCTCTCCCGATTATATCATCGACATCTTTTAAAGAAAGAAAAAGAAATGAATCGAGTGCTGTATCCATTCCCCTAGATTCATCAGATAAAATCTCTGCCATCAATGGGTCTTCGAAATCGAATCAAACTGCTTTAAAAGAGAGCGACGAATTCACTCCTGCAGGTTCATTAAAGTCGAGAACGAAATCTCGAGAAAATGATTTGATTCCTGGGGACCTTGCCAAGAAACGTAAAAAATCTGCATTGCAAATTTACAGCCAAGATTCGCATGATAAGAGACCGGGAATTCTAAAAAGGAAAAACGCAGCCATTTTGCAGTTAAACTTCGACATTAAGGTACCAAAAGAGAGAGAGGAGAACGTTTATTTCAGATTAAAATTCCCAGAGGAGAGTTTAAGGAAATCGCAAGATCAATCTGAAAGGAACGCTGGCGATGTAAATTATAAAAAAGCTGCAGAGCCCTTACAAAATAAGATTACTCTAACGTTCTTAAAAGAAAAGTCTAATGATACTAGTGCTACTACTAAAATCAACAGATGGCTTGAAATAAACACATTAACCAACGAGAAGGTTAATTCAATAGAAAACAAAACAAATAGTGTTTTTAAAATAAATGGAGTTACTAAATTGCTACAAAATATATCTTTGTTTTTTATGCCTTCATTGCGAACTTCTTTCTCTGGTATTTTTAAGCTTCCTGTTGCAGATCGTCCAATTCCCGAATCAAAAAATAAATCAGGAATTTTAAATGCAAACAGGATAACAGGGAATGGTCAAAATATTGAACATTTATTAAACAGAAGAAGAAGACACTACAACTATTACTCACAGGACAAGAATTTTAGACCCATCGACAGACCTAATGTTTATCAGGGTTTCAAACAAAAGCATGAAAGGTATTATAATAATGAACAATATGGAAGACATGGGCCTATTACTCAGTTTACTAAAAGTTCAAATTCGAATTATGTTAAGCATTACTCTCCCGGGATTGGTAACAATCCTCCAAAATATAACCAAAATATACCACCCAGTTACGCTCGCCAAGAGGCTTATACCCCTCACATACAGAGCAACACCCAAAGCTATTCTCCAAGAGAGTCGAGAACTTTTCGTGGATATATGAATGACTTTAACAGCTATGACGTCGAAGCATCTGAACCACAATCACAAGCAAGTCGTAGAGGTTCTCTAAAATCTATCATAGATAAAGATATTACACCATTGATCAACAGCATAAACAACAATGTATCAAATCATACCAGTAATGCCCAGCACATTATTCACTGGTATTTCATTATTCCCAATCAAGCAAATGGCGATCCATTTTTTGTGTGGAAAAACACGTCCGTTCCAGCAGCGAATGGGGAAGCCGAGGATAGCCCAGTATCTGATTTGAAGTCTCCCATCTTGACCGCGCCTGCCCAACTATCTGAAAACGAAACTTCAGCAGAAAATATAACCATGGACAACTCAACAACTACCACAAATACATCAATCGAAAATGATAAACTCATATGGAATTCCACTGAGTATGAGTATGATGATGAAATTTGGCATAAAAATCAATGGGCTTACATTTCACCACCAACAATACCCAACGGGACTGTGACAACCAAGAGGCCTAAAGTACCATCGAAGTGGCCGTGGAATATTGTTCACCATCATCAGCACCATAAACCTAATAAATATCCGAGGAAAACTTGGCCCTGGCCAGAAACTGTATCTTGTTCTTGCAACAAATGGTACGTACCTAGTCGTGGATGGTGGCCCAGCCGAACCACTCCTATGATGCCAGGAATGAGTGGATGGGACAAAAAATAATATTTGTTGAGCACATTTTTTTAAAAAAATAGTTGAAGAGAGTGTACCGATATATTGATAAGCACAAATTTCAAACTTTTTATAAGTACGTTGCTCGTGAAAAAGCAGCTTTATTATCATATGGGCAATAAGATGCATTGTGCTGCTATCTATTGTGAGTTTAAAAAACTTATGAACAGTTGGATGTAAATATGTCACATTAAGAAAAATGTGGTTTATGAATATATTGCCCAGAGCCCTTCAATGTTTTGTCACTCATCTCCTTCCATAATGCCGAAATAAAAAATAAATAAATAAATAAAAAAAAATAAAACTTGTTTCATAATTTTTTCTTTCATCGAAAATTAAAACATTTCTGCAATATCCTTACAATTTTATAATACAATGTAAGGATATTGTAGTAAAAGCACTTATTTTATGCTCTGTCTATGTTGTTTGGTGTCTTAAGCAGGATTAAAATTGGTGATAAGAATTCCGAAACATGCAGTTTACATTCATTAATCGAAAAGAAATATTATATTTTTTAGAAATTGGTTGCGTTTTTGTGTTTGTATATTTTTATTATCGTGCAGGGCATTTTTATAATCATGTAATCACAATATTTTTATTCTCAAAAGCTCTGTTGTTTAATTGCAAAAACTTAGTTTTATACTTATATAACGCACTCTATACTTATGTATCTTCTTAATATTTAGAAAAGTGGTTTAAGGTGAAAAACCTCAGTGTCTATTTTCAAAAAAATTATTATTTTTATTTTTACACGCTTTAACAAGATTCGCGTTTTATAATTATGCCCGAAAAGATAAACTAAGATGTAGAGTGTTTTGAGTTAATAAAGCATGCCTTCAAAGATTTCAAATGTATTTTTCATACCCGAAAAGCACTAAAGCATTTTCCGTTTCATTCCAATTAACTAAAAAATTTAACAGCATATATGTTAGAGATGGGTAAGTACCAACTTTTTCATTATCAGATATAATTTGATACTGATATCACAAGTTATCAATTACATGAATCTGATACTTTTTATATTTTACTTTAGCAATATAGTCAGTGCGAGTCGGGTGCGGAATTCGTATCGACCAGCTGGGATTTAAACCCGAGCCACCTTATTGGAAGGTGAGCGTTTTATCCTTTAAGCCACCACGGCCCTGAGCATAGTGTTTGAGCGAGTTAAAAGCTATCCGATATTGTTTATGATTACTCCATGCTGCATATTATTTAAGTTTTATATTTATGCATGCAATGCGGCGCATAATAAGCAAAGAAAGAAAATTACGCATTACATAAAAAAGAAAAATATGAAAGAAAATAACGCAGAATTAAATCCTTTCCCAAAAAACAATTACAAATTAAGTTATTTAAATAAGATTAAGATAAAAGCAATTAATATTTTCTTCGTCAATTGAGAGATTTGACTTTGCAAATGTAAGGCCTTTAAATTTCATTGTTCTTAAGTCCTATCAATAATACTTGTAAATAATCATAAATACTCAAAACATAAGAAGTTTTTTATTTTGCATATCGTATGCCAGATTTCATGTGGTTAGAACCCGCAAATAATTCTGATTCAAAGTGCACAATAGTTTTGGCTTAAGTTACGCTGTCATTTGACACATTAAATGAAATTTGAATTAATGTGTGGTTCACGAGTAATAAGCTTGGTTCACTTAATCTGCATTTCGCATCGTTCGATAAGTCCGTCAAACTAGATTTACATTGGATTAATGCTTTAATCTTCTGAGAGTTTAGAAAATGAATTCCATTATTCTTGGTGACGTATTGTTCGAAGAATAGGGAAATTCGTGAATTGTCATTATTTGTTATGTTCCGTAGAATATGATAAGTGAAATGTATTTAACTGGAGATTGTGTACCAATTTGAGTTATTAGCTTTTCTTCTATTATGAAATAATCAGTAGTGGAAAAAATCTAAACATATTGTTTACAAATTGTTAACATTAATTAACACATTAATCTCATAGTCTTCTCAAGAATTTGTATTTAAAAATCTGAAACAATTCTAAGAGAAATAAAAAAAAAAGTCATTTCATTTGTACTATCATTTAATATTTAGAGTAAAAAGCAGTAATAAAATAACAGAATTGTCTTGAGAATAGTGTATTTTTTGTGAAAAAAAAAATTAGTTTTTGCTTGTTAAAATTTCGCATGAGTAAAAGGAACTCTAATATTGAGTTATTTATTAAAGAAAAAACAGCACTTGAAATTTATAAAAATTACGGTTTCATACAAGACTGTATTACACGTACTCTATTTTATACTATTTTAGATACGTAAGATTAGCATCATGCAAAATTGATATTGGTAATGCTTATCTTATACTATAATACGAGGAATGGTTGCCAAGTCGAAAATCGCCCCAGAATTAATAAACTCCGGTAAACTTGGGGGTCTGGGGTTTTTGGCCACGAGGAATCGATTGGCGCCGGTTTTGAAGCGCTACGGTCGAGCAGTTCGGAGTTACAGATAGGATATTTTCAAACTTTATTAGTTCGCCATAATGGCTATAGATACTTTTCTCCACTCTTATAAATGTATGCTAATGCGAACCTTACAATTGAAANTCAAGAATTTGTATTTAAAAATCTAAAACAATTCTAAGAGAAATAAAAAAAAAGTCATTTCATTTGTAGAATGCTGTGAAAAACTCCGTAGAATATGATAAGTGAAATGTATTTAACTGGAGATTGTGTACCAATTTCAGTTATTAGCTTTTCTTCTATTATAAAATAATCAGTAATGGAAAAAATCTAAACATATTGTTTACAAATTGTTAACATTAATTAACACATTAATCTCATAGTCTTCTCAAGAATTTGTATTTAAAAATCTAAAACAATTCTAAGAGAAATAAAAAAAAAGTCATTTCATTTGTAGAATGCTGTGAAAAACTCCGTAGAATATGATAAGTGAAATGTATTTAACTGGAGATTGTGTACCAATTTCAGTTATTAGCTTTTCTTCTATTATAAAATAATCAGTAATGGAAAAAATCTAAACATATTGTTTACAAATTGTTAACATTAATTAACACATTAATCTCATAGTCTTCTCAAGAATTTGTATTTAAAAATCTAAAACAATTCTAAGAGAAATAAAAAAAAAGTCATTTCATTTGTACTATCATTTTATATTTAGAGTGAAAAGCAGTACTAAAATAACTGAATTGTCTTGAGAATAGTGTATTTTTTGTTAAAAAAAATTAGTTTTTGCTTGTTAAAATTTCACATGAGTAAAAGGAACTCAAATATTGAGTTATTTATTAAAGAAAAAACAGCACCTGAAATTTATAAAAATTACGGTTTCATACAAGACTGTATTACGCGTACTCTATTTTATACTATTTTAGATACGTAAGATTAGCATCATGCAAAATTGATATTGGTAATGCTTTTATAATTAAAAATTATACTGAAGAATAATTTTTTTCCCTGTTGCATGAGATTTCTTAAAACAGATCTGAGATACTTTCATATCACAGATTTCAAATTTGCAATTGGTTTTTCTCTCCTAGCTAGTTTTTTTAACTGCCATTTTTAGTCTATTTTTACCGAAACTCACAAATTCAAAAAAATTATACAATGGGTTGCGTAAATGTTGATATAAACTTCTTGGAGAGTTAAGGCACAATCATCATAGTTAAAACTGCATAAGAACTCATGCCCGCAAATGTTCTTATCAATCACTAGGAGCGCTTCCATACTATGAACTGTTCATAATAGGAAGCGCCCACAAGCCGCGTACGACGACGTTCGAGGGCAGGGGTTCCTATGTAGTTTTAATCTTGATGATGTACCCTAATTCCCAAAAAGTTTGTTTCTACATTTACGCGACCCTAATGTTAAATATAACGTTTTTAGATTCGTACATTTAGACAAATAATAAACTAAAAATGTCATTTTTAAGAAAATCTCTAGCTTTAGGCGGAAAACTAATTTCAGATTTGAAATCCCCACACCCAAATTAGGCAAGATCAAATATTTATTTAAATGTACACAAAAATTTTTTCTCCGGTGTAAACCATTCATTTTAGTGTTTAAAAACCCTTCAGAGGTGCTTCCTTTTTTCAATGATTTACAGAACGCAGAGACTCTCTAGTGATTATTCAACTTTTTCCACTATTTTACGTAAAACGTACGTATTTTACGTTTTTGAAGTAAAGTAATTTTACTTTATTCTATAATCATCGTTGAACAGCTGACTCAATTTTAAGGCACTCCGTAGCCTCGTAAGTTTGAGCCAGAAGACAAGGGAAGTTCTGGTTCAAGTGTTGGGAGAAATTTTGCCTTCAGGAAGTACTTTTTGATGGAACTAACCCTAAATTTGTGTCACATAGAGAGGAAACTAACGAAAACTTCACACGGCTAGTTTGACGGCAAGGGTACTCTTACCCAGGACCCGTCTACCTCTGAGGATATTTTAAGTCAGCACTGTAGTTGGTGTGAGCCGGGTGCGGAATTCGTATCGACCATCCATCGCTAGGATTCAAACCCGGTTCACCTCATTGAGAGGTGAAAGCTCTATCCCCTGAGCAACTATGACTCCTTAGTAAAGTAATGTCAGGAAGCACTAAAACCTCTTCAAAGGTGTTTCATTTTTCAATGAAATACACGTGCCCTAGTAAACATTTAACTTTTTCCAATATTTTGTCCGACTCAGTTTGTAGTAAAAAAATTGAAGGAAAATATTGCATGGATAAGTGTTCTGTAATCAAGCTTATATGTATTCATGACAACTTACTATCGAAAGTGTAATCGTTATAAGATCAGATTTAATCATATATTTTTGTGATCTTAGAGCAGTATGATTTGTAACGACGATTACAATTGCAATTGCAAATTATAATGGCTACTTTAAAAATTCCAGCCAGTAGCAACTGATAACTTTCAACAAGTTATGTTTTGCACAATTCTGGTTATATGAACGAATAGTTAGCTGACTTAGATTACTTAATATCGTTAGCGTTTTAGTGTAGTATAGCAGTCAGCGTTTTTTGTACCAATAAACACCAAATCAAAATACACTTTAGGGTTCAAAAGTAGCAACCATTAAAATGTAATACTTTAATAGTTTTTATAATATTATGATTGATATATATTATATATAAGATTATATATAATATTGATAGGTATAGATTTGTACCAATGATATAGAAAACGCATTTTTGAAATTTAAAATAGACTCTAGGATTAGTATAAAATTATATACTAGAAATTTCTCTAGATTGAAAAATATAGTTTAGGAAAAAAAGTTTAACATTTAAAAGTGTGATAAAGTTTTGCTATCTTCAATAATTTG